GACTAAAATATTATCACTTCTGCGGCTTTTTGCAGAATTTTATCACTTATTTAGTATCCATGGTACAACTCTCAATAAGTAATAAAATAAAATGATGAACGTTAACAAATTACCGTGTGATGGTAATGTTATATGATTTAAAAAAAAATAGATTGAAAATAGAATATTTAAAAAAGGCAGCCTAGTGCTATGAAATGCAACCATGCAAGTGCTTCTCTATCTAATGAGTTTTTTCTTAGATTTTTTAATGTGATACTTGTCAGCATATTCCAGTAATAGTTTCCTTAAGACTATTTTAACTTACCATATTTTGGATCTCTAGTGAAAATCAGCTTGATTATAACAAGTATAGAACCCAGAATCAGTAGTTGTTACAACAACTTCTTACCAAAAGTCAAGGAAACTAAATGATTGGACATTTTTTTTGGAGACTAGTTGGAAATAATAAAAATATCACTTCTGCGGCTTTTTGTAGAATTTTATTTCCTAGTTCAGTATCCATGGTACAACTGTCAATGAGTAATTATATATTCATGAATTTGTTTGTTTGTAGTCAATTTTCTCAAAAAAAAAATATTACGCTTTTGTATGTTTGTATATATTTCTTTTTACTTTTCATTTCTCTTGTTTATCTATCTGTTAAGTATAATTGTTATTGTTATAATTATATTACTTATATCTATAGTTCTTTTTCCAATTTCTGTCATTTTTTCCTAGTTCATATTAATTTTTCAATATTCATTCTGTAGATCCACTGATGATGACATAAAATACTATGTCGAAACGTTTGGAAAAATTAAAGATTAACTTCTAAATCTTTGCCTTTTATTTGATGTATGCCCTTGAAGAACTTACTCATATTTCTCAACATCAAAACTAACTTCTTTAACATATTATATATAATATATATATATATATATATATATATATATATATATATTTAAAAAGGCAGGCTATTAAAATGCAACCATGCAAGTGATTCTCTATCTAATGAGATTTTTGTTAGATCTTTAATATAATACTTATGAGAATATTTCAGCAATAACGTTCGAAAGGCTATTTTTACTTAACTTATTTTGGATCTTCAGTGAAAATCTGATATTTCCCAGGTTATAATCAATAACAGGAATAAAACACCTAATCCGTGATTGTTTGACCTCTTACTAACTAAATGATTGGAAATTTTTTGGAAACTAGTTGGTGATTATAAAAATATTATCACTTCTGCAGCTTTTTGCAGAATTTTATTTCCTAATTTAGTACCTAATTTTATGTTCATGAATATAACGTTTGAGGTCATTTTTATTAAAATGATAATAATATAATATGAAGTCAAGAAAAAATAGATTGAAAAGGCAACCCAGTGCTTTTAAAATGTAACCATGCAAGTGATTCTCTATTTAATGAGATTTTTGTTACATTTCATTTCAATAGCCTTCGGATATATAACACTCCTTCGATTATATTTTAATTTACCATATTTTGGATCTTTAATGAAAATTTGATATCTCTTCAGCTTAAATTCAGATTAAAACAGGCATAAAACCCAGAGACAATGGTTGCTAGAGACCGACTTCTTACCAGGAGTAAAGGCAACACCTGTATAAATGATTGGACATTTTTTAGAGATTAGTTGGAGATACTCTAGAAAAAATATAACATAACGGTTTATTTGTATTTGTATTAAATTAGTAGATTAGTTGCAGATGTCTAGGCCATGTCTAATTTGTTTTGGCGATCATTTGGCTCTCACATATATTTACTGCTTATATTAATCTTTTTTATCATTGATACAAAAGTCTCGATAGCATATCAGTCTGGTACATGATAATGATGAATAAATATCAACAGTAAACAGCAAATTGTTGCAAAATATGGGTGATATTAGAGATTTAATATATCTTATAAAAATTGAAAATTAAAAAAATATGAATATATTTCATGTATTTAAAATAGAGATGGTGAATCTGATGCCAACAGAATAGTCAATCACTAACGATGGACGAACAACTTGTTTGACCATTCTTACAAAAAAAAAAACGAATAACTTGCAATTTCTTGTCTTAATTTAAAATTTAGTCTTGCTTGTTTGCTTTAGTATTATTTTTGAATGGTCACTGATAGTTTATATAGGAATTAAGTATATTGTGAAGCTTCTGGATAAAATTTAGCTTTATCGTTAAAATTCAAGCCACAACTAAAGAGATTCGTTTAGTGGCATAAAATATTAGGTGTTTGTCGATTTTGCAAAAGCATAGTTCTTAAAATATAAGAACATGACAATAGTTCTTGATATTCTGGCAGCTTCTTGAATTGCCTGGTGGGACAACAAATTCGTAATCTTCCCATTTTATGTTAGAAATAGGGCTCGTCCGTATGTAAGCGGTTAGGAGCGACGGGACTTGATTCAGAGGTCCCGGGTTCGAGATCCGCTTCAAGCTGCCTGTTGTCAAGCAGTAGTGACAACGGTTTTCACTTGGAAATATAGATCGCAATATGCTTCCAAGTTAAAATAGCCCTTGTCCAGTATTTCTGCACCAATAAAAAGTCAGCTCTACTAGATTAATTCTAATAATAAAATCATCAAATATGGATATATTAACCATTGGGCTACCATCTAAAAATTCGAAGTAAGGAGAAGTTATAGCTCAACAGCTCCTCATGGACGTAAGGTTCTGATTGCAGTTAAAATAAGAGAAAAAAATGTTAGAAATTAGAATGGTTGATGGTTATATGGTTATGGTCGATAATGACATGTTTTCTAATAAGCCCACTCGTGGATTATTGAAATTTTTGATAATGGTTCAGTACTAGAAATGTGAAATCCTCTTCCATAAATTTTTATGTGAAAATTGTCACATAACGTAACGTAACGTGTTGGCTGGTCTTGGTAATAAAATCATTTAATTGCGCGTGGGACTGGAGTTATCGGCTCATAAAAGTAAAATGCACACAGTAGCTTGGTGCATACACCCAAATACATAGTCACACAAATACATACATACATACATACATACATATATACATACATATATACATACATAAATATATACATACATACATATATACATACATATATATACACCATATAAGACATATAACTTAAATATTACAACAGTAACTAAATTACTTATTAGAATAACCATATATCCTTATAGTTCAGTTTTTATTATATTTCGAACGTGATCAAGCACAATTTACATATTTATATTGCCAATACTTACACAATATGATTTATGAGATTATATTCAGACATTCAAAACTGTTCTACATTTACCATTGTCAAACATTTGGTTCGAATATCTTGTATTTCTTAACCAAATCTACTATATAGCTATAATTCTTGTTTTTTTACAACAAAAAATATTGATTATTTACTTATTTCATATTTTGTAATTACTTTTATTGAATGCATTGGTTGGCATGTTTTGTCATTTTCTAAGATTTCGGTCGGAATATAATTATAATTATATAAAACGAGTAGTAAAAAGAGTAGAAAATTGGTGATACAACATTGATAATGAACAGATCAAAATGATTATTAGCAATAGCCAAAGTAATCAATAAAAATCAAAACATGTGAAATGTATATAACAGATACAGTATTCCAGAAGCTCCTTTTTAGTAATATAACAGTTCACAGATTAACAGTTTGCATCCAAAATTAGATCAAATGATTTGCCAAATAATACGATAAAGTTGCTGTTAATAAAAACCTTTTGCTACTTATTAAGAGCGTTAGTGTTGCTATTAATGAAACCCTTTTCCTGTCTATTAAGATCGTTAGTGTTTCTGATACATAAATTGACAATGTTTACATGGATTTTGCTGTCAGATTTCTTGCAATATTGCATTTTGTTGTGTAAGATGAAACCTGATAGATTGCTTAACACTTTCACCTCCGGTGACACCAACGTAACTGGTAGAACAGTCGTCTTTAA